TGCAGCTGTGATAATAAGCAGAAAAAAGAAGTTGGGGAAGTTGGAGATTGGGTAGCAAGTAACATTTAAGGATCGTGATAACTTGTCTCAGTTATATTACTTTGGTGAACCGGATATTAGCAAAGTTTTGGCTTTTATGTTTTTTTTTAATGTTAAACTGCATATCGTTGAAAGAAAAAACCTGCATCGATTTGCTTTTGTACTTACCGTGTCGACTTGCTACCTGAAGCTACGAATGGAAAAGCGCTGCAGAACCAGCAGAAATTTATTTATTTGTTGTTGTTGCCAAAAATATGTTATATTGAGCGTTTGTCTCTGCTCTTAGAAATTCCATTTGTTTGAGCAATGCCCATCTTATTATAATTTCCCTTTATAATCGTCCGACTTCTTAATAAATGAGAATTTTTCTTAGGAGAAGTGGTTCATCGTCTTCGATCTCTTCTATTGACACAATGGATCAGCTCGAGAAAGTTATTCAGAACATCTCTTCAGGTCTAATCGATGTTGCCAAAGATGCCTTAGAACAGGTATTCTCTAATAGTTTTTTGTTGTTAATCTTAAAAATTGTTTTCCTATGTATTGTAGTCGCGTTCAGGTCCAATTTCTCCTTTCCGTAGATGACCAACGTGGATTGCTTGAAGACCGCATGGATATGATCATGCAAACAGTTGGAACCCAGTTGAAGCTCCTCAGGAATCTGCATGGTATCCACACAGCCAAAGGACAGGAGTTGCTGAAGGTCATTCTCAACTTCCTTTGCCCTGTGAGTGATTATTACTGTTCGAGTGACACATTCTTTCGAATTCTTACTCTTCTTACCACTTCATATGTACCATTAGGGCATTTATTACTGAAAATGGGGTATTAGCGTTTCCTGTTATCGGGTTTCTCAGTACTATATTTTCCAAGAATTCCACTTTCACCCTTCATTTCTTCAGAAAGACTGTGAGACTTCTCCATTATTTTTATGTTTTCTATTTTCCTCGTTCAGGATTTCCTCCTCCCGGTCTCGAAAGGTATTATCAATTTCGCAAAAATTAGATAGGTTATAGGATGGAGTGTGTAGTAAAAGAAAATTTTCGAAATAGTTATATCAGGATCTTAGGGGGATAACTAAAAATGTGAAATCCTATTTTCTTGTCTTCCACCCGCTTATTCGAAAAAACTGCGTTACGCTAACTCAACTCATTTCTAGTGCCTGAGTGCTAGAATGCTTCGGATTAAAGAGTGTGATTCAGGTTTGAAGGGGAAGTGCGCTTCTCTGTGAGCATAAAGGTGAAGAATTCGTGTTATAGGTCTTAGACGCGAAACCACGAGGATCTACCTTAGTGATGTGAGAGTTAGTTGTCGTTTCACTAATATGGTGTCAAAAAGAATTTAACGAGCAATCTCGATATGTAAATCAATTCTGGTTACATGTGGGAAGTTATTCGGTCTTAGCGAAAGCTTACTTATCAGATTAAAATAGAGATGCCACTCTGTCTGTTTTCTACAGCCTTAAAAAACCTAAAAGCTTACTCGAACTAATGGTACTCGCTTGATGGGAGCATGGTAAGACCACTTTATGTTGGGGGCCAACCAATAGAAAATCCTTTTTTATTTAAACAGAATCATAAGTCACTGGCTAAATACCGTCTCCTTCGATGTGCAGCTTAGGCTCTGAAAATATGTGTTTCTGTACCGATTTGGATCAAGTTCACACACAAACACTTTGGAGCGCTGCGGGTAACGTAGGCCACTTTATATGAAAAAATATCGATTGATAATATCGATTCACTAATTTTGTTTTCGCTCTAGATAGCTGGGAATTGGTACACTGGGGTAAGTTGATCTGCTTATTACAAATATGATAGCCACTTGAAGATTTATAAACTAAGTCTATTGACTTATTGATTTTTCGCAGTTCTTGGTCAAAGGCGCTTGGGTTGATGTATTATATGCCAATTACGAACTTGATAATCTCTCGGAAATTCATCAATCGATTCTATTGATTTATTTCGCACTTTTCGTTTTGAGGAGCTGAGAGTTGATGTACTCGGGTAACCTGATTTGCTGATTATGAATTTGATGACCACTCGAAAGGTTTATTGATTTACTTCATCAATTCAGCGGCTTTTTCGCTTTGCACTACCGGAAATTGCTGAACAGTGGTTTGTTAACAGGTTACGAATATGATTCTCATTCAAGACAATATCTACTACTTCGTGGTTTTTTCGGTCGTGGCTATCAATCAATGCAAAGATGTGCTAACATGCTGAACATCACGATTTTTTT